AATTTTAATATTTATGCCTATTGAAGTAAACTTTATCAAATTAAGAATTCTCATATTGAAATATTGAGCATAAACTTAAAATAGTTCTCTGGATTTCCTCAGTGTCTGTTGTTATGTCCCACTTTTCATTTCTGATTTCTGTTAATTTGCATGTTTACTCTCTGCCCTTTGGTAAATTTGGATAAAGGTTTGTCTATCTTGTTGATTTTCTCGAAGGACCAACTCTCCACTACATTCTTTGTATTGTGTTCCTAGTTTCTACTTTATTGATTTTAGCCCTCAATTTGATTATTTCCTGGCATCTACTCCTCCCGGGTGAGTTTGCTTCTTTTTGTTCTAGAGCTTTCAGTTGTGCTGTTAATTCTCTAGTGTGATTATTCTCCAGTTTCTTCATGTGAGCACTTAGTGCTATGAACTTTCCTCTTAGCACTGATTTCAAAGTGTCTCATAAATTTGGGTATGTTATGTCTTCTTTCTCATTGAATTCTAGAAAGTCTTTAATTTCTTTTTTTATTTCTTCCTTGACCCAGGAATGGTGTGCAATTGCACACTATTCAATTTCCATGGTTTTGTAGGTTTTATGCAATTTGTGTTGTTTTTGAATTTTAAATTTAAAGCATGGTGGTCTGATAAGACATAGGGGGTTATTCCAATTTTTTTGTACCTGTTGAGGTTTGTTATGTTGTCAAGTATATGGTCAATTTTAGAGAAGGTTTCATGTGGCACTGAGAAAAAGGTATATTCTTTTTTGTTTGGATGGAATGTTCTATAGATGTCTGTTAAACCCAGTTGGGTTATGACTTCAATTAGTTCCTTCGTTTCTTTGTTATGTTTCTGTGGTGGTCCTGTCTAGTGGTAACAGTGGGGTGTTGAAGTCTCCCACTATAAGTGTGTGAGGTTTTATGTGTGATTTGAGTATTAGTAATGTTTCTTTTACTAATGTGAATGCCTTTGTGTTGGGGTCATAGATGTTCAGAATTAAGACTTCATTTTGATGAATTTCTCCTGTGATGAGTAGGAAATGACCTCCTTCATCTCTTTGGATTGATTTTAGTTTAAAGTCTAATTTGTTAGATACTAGGATTGCTACCCCCACACATTTCTTGAATACATTTGATTGGAAAATCTTTTCCCAACCCTTAACTCTGAGGTATTGTCTGTCTTTGAAGTTGAGGTGTGTTTCTTGTATGAAGCAGAAGGATGGATTCTGCCTTCTTATACATTCTGCTAATCTGTGTCTTTTTATAGGTGAGTTAAGACCATTAATATTGATGGATATTAATGACCATTGATTGTTTGTTCATTCTTGTTTATTTTGGATTTGTTGGTGGTGTTGGAATTGTGTGTGGATTTCCATCCGTTTTTTCTTTTGGCTGTTGGTAAAGTGGGATTATCTATTGCCTATGTTTTTCTGGTTGTAGTTAACTTCCTTGGGTTGGAGTTTTCCTTCCAGAACTTTCTACAGGGCTGGATTAGTAGATATGTATTGTTTAAATCTGGTTTTGTCATGGAATACCTTGTTTTCTCCATTTATAGTGATTGAAAGCATTGCTGGGTATAGGAGTCTGGGCTGGCATCCGTGGTCTCTTAGTGTTGGTAGAATATCTATGCAGCACCTTCTGGCTTTCAGAGTTTCCATGGAGAAATCATATAAAGGCAAACCTATCAGAATTATACCTGACTTCTCCAAAATAAAGGGAGCCATTATAGGTTCAAAGAGAAATCTGGCACTAGGGAAATGTCCAGAGACCTACAAGATTGACCCCAACTAACAATCTAAGCAACAGTCAAGAGGCTACCTTAAATGCCCTTCTCCAACAATGAGATTGATAACTATCTTATATGCCATCTTAGAGCCTTTATCCAGTAGCTAATGGAAGCAGAAGGAGACACCCACAGTTTAAACACACTGAGCTGAACTCTGGAATCCAGTTGTAGAGAGGGAGGAGTGATGAGTAAAGGGGTCAAGACCAGGCTGGAGAAACATACAGAAACAGCTGACTTGAACAAGGGGGAAACTCATGGACCCCAGACTGATAGCTGGGAAAGCAGCATAGGACTGATCCAGACCCCCCCTGAATGTGGGTGTCAGTGAGGAGGACTCAGAAATCTATGGGGCCTCTGGTAGTAGATCAGTATTTATCCCTAGCAAAAGAATGGACTTTGGGAGCCCATTCCACATAGAGGGATAATCTCTTAGCCTAGACACATGGGTGAGGGCCTAGGCCCTGAACCAAATGATATGAAAAACTTTGAAGATCCCCCATGGAAGGTCTGCTCTCCTTGGGGAGTAGAAAGGGTATGGGATAGGTAGGGTATTAGTGGGGGGCAGGGGAGGAGGGGAGGGAGAGGGAACTAGGGTTGACATGTAAAGGAAGGTTGTTTCTAATTTAAGTTAAAGAAAATTTTATTTTTAAATAAGTATGTAAATTTCCAATGAATATAAACATGTACTTTTAGTGGTAAAGTCACAAATGTTTAAATTTCAAATAAATTTCACATACTATGTAATTGAAAAATAAAACAAAATAGTGAGAACTATAAATCCAAGTTATCACTTTAATTATAGAAATGTTGCCATTATTTTATCCTTTTGTTGTGAGCCTTAGCCTGTAATGGTTAAACCATCTCACCAGCCCAGAATATCACTATTTTATAGTACTTCCTATGGGTCAATTAACTCATTTTAAAAGATTTATTTACATTTTTCTTCTAAAGTCCATAAATATATGAACAATTAATTTGAAATAACAGAATTAATTCTTTTACTATTCTAAATGTATAAGTGCTTATATAAGCAAGTACAACTATATTAGCATGTTTAATTTTTCTTTTGGGGAAAACCCAGTTAGAAGAACTATTTATTCTAAAGAATTGTGAACAGAGGGGCTTTATTCCCCCTGTTGGTTCATTTCCATAACTAAATCTGGCAGCAATTTTACAGCTGTACATTCTTATGAATGAGGCCTGGAACACTGGAACGGGCCAGGGAAAGAAAACGACACTGTGGTTTGAGCATGGAATACCCCCCACAAATGCTCTAGTAGGACATAGGGCTCCTAGCTAGTGCTGCTGCTTATGAAGGCTATGGAGTCTGTTAGGAGGTAGAGCTTCACTTAACAAAGAGGGTCACAGGGGTGGGGGTGGGGAGCTTGTAGACCAGCACATTTCTATCCACTCTGCTTCCTGACTGCAGACACAGTGTGACCAGCCACCTCAGACTCCTGCAGCCATGCCTTCCCCACCATAATGGACTACATCTCCCCAAGCACTGAAGCAAATTAAATCCTTCCTCCCTTAAGTTCCTCCTTGCCAGGTATTTAGTCACAGCAAGCAGGAAAGTGATGCCTAAATGTGAAAAGAAGCCAGTCCTTGCTTACAAGGGCCCTACAGCAGCCAGCAGAAACCACTTCCTCAGCCACCCTCTGAATGTTCCACAGGATACACATATTAAAACACTTATTCTGGCTTTAGGGAAAAGGGGAAAGCGTCTGAAAGATGTCAAGAGAATGTGCTTCTAAACATCCTTTGGAACCCTCTAAAAACATACATAGCATGTAGAAGGCCTTATATCATTCCTGTAAAAACATACATAACATGTAGAAGGCATTACATAATTCATCTAAAAACATATGTAACATGTAGAAGCATTACATCACGCCTGTGAAAGCATAGGTAACAGGAGGAAGCATTACGTCATTTCTGCTAGTATTCTACTTAGTTCCTCAACAATAAAGGGATTCTCCAGTCTATCCACTAGTGGCTACTGGATCAAAAAAGAAAAACAAACAAAACTTATTTTCTTAAAAATACTAAGTAAGGTAACAATTAAGTGAAGCTTGGAAAGACAAATGCCCCATGTTCTCCCCTACTAACAATCTAGCTTGTTCTAAATGATAGTGTGTTTAGAGGCCAGGAAACTAGAAAGGGCCCATGAGACAGGAGGAAATGTAAGGTTTTAATAGAGAAAGGTAGGAATGGAAACCAAACACATGAAACATAAAAGAAGCAGGGGGAAATACGGGGAGAAGAAGAGTACAGTACAAAATGGAAGGCAAGGGGAATGTGGGAAAAGTGGGGGGGGGGGTGTATGCATCTGAATATGTTTCGTGTTTATTTCCTCAATACTGCATTTATATAGCCATTTGGACTGCATTAGGTACTATACATAAAAAAGATAAGCCAGCTCTAAAATGGTGGTAGGAAAAGAAGGGCAATGCTTTACTTTATCAACCATATATAAAACACAAAGTTCTCCAATTTTTCATATTTGAAATCTCTTCAGATTCCTTCTAAACTTCCATTTCAGTAACAGTAGTAAAGTAGCAGGTGAATAGAAAGAATGGTTCCTAAGACAATCTGTACCCTGGTAGTGACAAGTGAAGAGATACTCTGAGAAAGAACAACACAGTATGAGAACCAAGTAACAAAGCATGTGCTGAACAATCAGAAGCTCCTACACAGAGTGAGGGGACCAGACATGATCTCACAGCTGGTGGCGTGTGAGTAGAACATGAAAGATAACTGGAATGCTACAGGTCAGAAGATGCCGAAAAGAACCAGGATACAGAACAATTCAATGCAGGACACAGGTCCTAAAGTCTAATGTGAAGGATGTAGTAGAGAAGGCCAAGAAATGAGACTCTGCATCCTTCCCATACGGGGCCTCAGATGCTTTGCTGCTTATGCTAATAAGCATAAAAGCAATGTAAAGTATTTGAAGGATAAGTGACATAATCAGGTTTGCATAAGACATTCAAGTATTAAAACTTCTTGTCGTTGATGCAGGGTCTCACAGTGTAGCCCATGCTGGCCTTGAACTTGAGATCCTTTTGTCTCATCCTCCTGGGTAGATGCTGGGATTATACACACATACCACACACTTGGCCTTAAAATTCTCATAAAATAAAGTGTCACAAGGCATAGATGAAGCAAATATTCTAGTATCACTATTACTACAATGAGAAAAATGTACAAAATAGCAAAAAAAATATAATCACCGGATGTCTTTGATAGTTGCCCGCTTCAAGGGGTCCACCTGCAGCATGTGCATCAGTAGAGTGGCAACAGAACGGTTGAGATACTCTGGGATATAAAACACACCCCCTCGGATCTTCTTAAAAAGTGTAGGCACGTGCTCATCATCAAAGGGGAGGGTGCCACAGAGAAGGGCATACAGGATAACACCACAGCTCCAGATATCAACCTCGGGACCCGCATATAGCCTGAGAAAGGAAAGCCTGAGTGTTAGTGTCCTGCTTCTATACATGATAAATGCAAAACCAACTTGGTATATATTGCTATTTAATGTCATCAATGAAATACATAGCAACTCTCAAACATCAATAATTACTCTTCATAGAAAATAACCAGCCTAATTAGTAGCACAAATGCTAGAAGACTGTTATTTTTATTTGTTAAAAATTATTTATAAGTGCTAATTAAAATTTATTATATTTTTCAGGCCAGGCATGATGGCACATGCCTTTAATCCCAGCACTTGGGAGGCAGAGGCAGGCAGATCACTGTGAGTTCAAGGTCAGCCTGGTCTAGAGAGTTCCAATCCATTCTGGGTAAGACTCTGTCTCAAAAACAAACCAACTATCAACAACAACAGAAAATTACATTTTCTCTTTTATTTCTTTAAGGAAACATCAAAATAGATAACCACAAATTAGAAAAAACATACAATTATAAATAGGAACTATTTCAAGAAAGAAAATGCATATATAACAAAACATTTGCTCCTAGTCTACACTTTAAACAAAATTTGCAACATTGAAATACTTAACTGGTTCAATATTGACAATGTTTAACTTGTATAACATTAACTTTTCTTAAAAATTATTTATCTTTAAATTTTATTATGTGCATGAGTGTTTTGACTGCATGTGTCTGTGTAGTACTTGTGTGTCTGATACTTACAGATGCCAGAAGGGGGCATCCGATTCCCTGGGATAGGAGTTCCAGGCAGCTGTGAGCCCTAATGTGAGTCCTCAAATTCCAACATGCATCCTCTGAAGAGCAGCAAGTGCTCTTAAGCCCTAGGCCATCTGTCCAGCCCTGTATAACGGAGTTCCTACTACTCTTTCAAAATCATTTGCTAACTTAGTGTACTAAGACAATTTGGCTCTAGATAACCTATGTCTGCACCACATACCTCTTATTGTTTCTGTCTTGCCTTTCTACTATACTACCATTCCCCAGCAACACATTACCAAAAATCAAACTTTGGTCTGAGGTCACAAATGTCTTCAGTTCCCATGGAAAGAACACAATCTGCTTCAGTAGAGTGGTGCCCCCGTTGTACATCATTGGCTGTATCACCCAAAACTCATCAGCTGAAATTAAGTAAAGGTTTTAAGGAGATCTGGCCCTGAGGTGGAACTCTCATAAAGAAGGTTAGTACCTAATAAAAGACTACCCCTGAGAGATCCCATTCCCTCTGACCACACATGCTTCAAGTTAGAGGACAGTAGACTGTGAGGAATAGGCTCTCCACACACCTGGTCTTTGTGGAGCCCCACAGTTACGGGATGATAGACCACTGTTGTTGATAAGGTGTGGTGTATGCTGCTCTCCAGCCCAAATGAACTAAGAGCCCCATTTCTGCTAACTTTTAAAATCAGACACTAGATACTGTGGAATGACTTGACTTCATCTCTGCAGCCTCCCTATGTATTTTATAATGTACTAATGAGCTAATTATACATGAGGAACTTGAAAGTCACTTGTCTAGTTTAATCATGTGAAACCATAGTCACCCAAATTTCATTCTTCCAATACCAAAATACAAAATGACTGCCTTCAGACTCTGAAATGTGTAAAAATACAATTAATAACTATGTCTGTTAAGTAAAGAAACCAGCTTCAATTTTAACAAATCCTTATTGCTGCTTGACATATTCTACAATAGAATATAGATACTGCATCAGATCTGTCAGTCATTGCCAATGAAGAAAATGCATAAACACATTGCAATGCTTACATGGAGTTTTTAAAAAATTTATTATTCTGACTATAATAAGAAAAAATAAATGAATAATTTGTTTCTATACTATGTTAAAAGTCTTCTTCCAAAGAAAATAAAATTATACATTATTAGAATAGTCACAAAAGCTCACCTATCACTAATAAACTATTACCTTCCTGAGATGACCTCGGGTGCTGCATAATTTGGCGAACCACAGCTTGTTCGTAGAAATTCACCATCTGACATCATATTAGATAATCCTGAAAAAACAAAAGCAATTTATCAGATGCTGGGATACTGAAAATACAGGTAAAACTATGATGAAAGCTCTCAACTCTTTCATGCTTCAGAAATCATATTCTTCATTTTAAAGGGTAATGGTGACAAGATAGCTCAGTGGGCCAAGATGCTTAAGCAAAGTTGATAACCTGCGTTCAATTCCTGAATCACACAAGGAGACAGGAGACAACTGACTCCTGACTCTTGTCATCTACCACACTCGAACACATCCCCGTATGTGCATACACGCGCGCGCACACACACACACACAAATTTTTAAAGTAACAGCACTGTAAGACCAGAAAGAGATTATTTTAGGAAACTTAAATCGTTACACAGAAAGCAAAAGAGCATCTGTAAGTGGAGGGAACCTTACTACATGAAAATTTTGACTCCTCACCAAAAAAAATAAAGTCATTTGAGATTATATTTCTGTTTTCAAAATATAAGCACCAAGTATTATATACTTCTGTATATGAAGAAATTAAAAGGCTGCTAATTAAAACAAACAAAAAACAATGTTTTTAAGGCTTTCTTAAAAGGTTGTAATTGGGCACTACATCTTTAATGCCAGCACTCAGGAGGCAGAGGCAAGTAGATCTCTGTGAGTTTGAGGCCAGCCTGGTCTACAGAGTGAGCTCCAGACCAGTCACGGTGACACAGTGAATCTTCTATATTTTTTAATTGTAATTAGGCAGCAGAACAGCTCCAGTTATTAAGCAGGTTGCTTTCCTGGAGTGAGACTTGTTTATGTCCATCAAGGAAAGCATATCACTGCTGTTCAGTTGGGGCTGAGCACAGGCAGGCAGCAGGACCTCCTGCTTCAACTTCCTGGGAAAGGTTTATAATCTAGAGTGCTGATCAACATAGCAGACATAATCTACTGAATCAAACTCCAACTGAACCACTTACTAGAAGAGTAAATGGAATGAGTGAAGCTAGTTTAAAGGCAGGTACAAAACAAACAAACAACCTGTAAACTGCAACACTGACTTTGCACCTTCCATCTCTCTCTTCCTAGGGTCACATCATAATCTTTTCCTCAAACATCCGCTGTTGAAACCTTTCTGGGTCTGTTTAGTGCATGGAGTATAAAATCGTACATTGTCTTTTACCCAGGACCAAAGTCCTGTTCTCTTATAAGTTATTAGACTTAGAGGCCTTTCCGTCATTGGTTCTGAGAGAGAACAAAGATTTTATAGCTGAGTACAAATTTTCACACACTTGTTTATGTTCATTTATCAAGAAAAGCATCCAATGTATCAACAAAATTTTCAAAGGAGTTTGGGAGTCCTTTCTCACCCCAGTTTATCCCCTCAAAAAGACAAACAAACAAACAAACAAAAACCCAAAAAGCAAACCAGCTATCATTTCCTTAGGAGGAAAGGAATATTGAGTGAATCTGTCTTGACATGGCCTCATAACATATTCTAGAAACCTCAGCAGTTTTTATGTGGATTTAAATAAACAGAATAATCAATCCTTTTCATGTTACAGGATTCGTGTGGGTGGAATGGAAAGTTCTTAGTGCTATAAGAGTAGTTACTGGACCATTTGAAAGGTACTACCCAGCTCTGAGCAACTGTGGAGTAGCATACCAAAGTCAGCTATCTTAGCATTCATCTGAGCATCCAGCAGTACGTTCTCTGGTTTCAGGTCCCGGTGGACAACCATATGCCTGTGACAGTAATCCACAGCAGACAGAATCTGCTGAAAGAGCCGCCGCGCCTCCACCTCTTCAACCTATTATGCAAAAAAAAAAAAAGAAAGAAACTGCATCAAGACTATCTAGAACATCTATTTATTATGTATTTCAGTTTCATAACCAGTCTAAATATAACTTAGCAGGCTAATTTAGGATTGGCTAATTAGAAATTCAAAAGCCAGACAAAGCAAACCAGCCAAAATTTTGTCAGACCTCAAAATATTATTCGATCGGTTTTGCTTTGCTGAATGACAATGTTTAATTCTCAGCAAATATTAAGTATGCACAATGTCTTAAGGAATCATTAAGACCAACTAAAACAGAATTCATATGAAAATGCTAAGAAAAGAAAATAACTGAAGCTTCAACACAATTTTATACAGAACAGACTGTGAAAAGCACAAGAATTTTTTGGCCATTAAGTGGGATACAGTTTCCAAATCTATATCCCAAAAGGCATGATTCTGAAGAAAGAAAATATGCCCTGTGTGTGTAGTTGACATTATTACAGAAACAATTTAAAGCACTGAAAATATCTTTGTGGTTGGCCACTTCCAATGTTTCCCGAGTTCTTAGTTTGGGGGTGGGGGTTGTTACTAGATAGTATGTCACTCACCCGCCCATGTTTACAGATGTAGTCGAATAATTCGCCTCCAGACACATATTCCATTACCATGAAAAAGTCTGTTGGAGTGCTGATCACCTGGTATCTTTTTCATAAATAAAAAAGGGGGTTAATACAAAATGGTGCTTCCACAATAATCAACCTCATCTGCTAGTCTTGCTACGATTTCATATTCCAATATTGTATAATACTGTAGGAGGGCAACAGATTTACAAGGTTAGCAACCTAATCCAAGTGTCATATACATGGAAGAACATTTCAAAACTTCCTGAGACTCAGACTTCCCTTCAGATTCCTGTTTTTCAGATTTCTTCTATCTTTGAAATCCTCACAAACTATACTAAAACACACCGTGTATAAATTAAACACATAAAAAATTGTCTGTAGAAGTATTTCTTTTTTAGGTTTTTCTTTCCCTTGAGATAGATGTTCATCATATAGAATCCAGGCTTTCCTCAAACTCATAATTTCCCACCTTGGCTCCCACATTCTGGAATTACAGGTGTATAACACCATACCTGGCCTGGAAAAATACTTCTAATGGTAACTTTAGTCTTCAAAGACACAAATGGCAGGGTATCCCATTTTATGTAAATCAAATGACAATAACAGAAATAAAGTTGAGACTATTTCACATGAACTGTGGGAAGGTAATTTTATTTACACACTCTGAAAGAAATGGTTTGATGAAGGCTATTTTGATAGGCATCAAAGTGATCAAGCAAATTGAATAGAGTAGGTGGAAGCATCTATTGTTATCAACTCATTTTTCTGATCTGATTTATTGTTACCAAACACATTTGTGATTATCCATTCTGAATAAGACATGAATGAAATGATGAAACTCAGATAATGGTAGCTGCTGATTCTTTGAAATATATCACGTCTTCATAGGATACTGCTGGGCTGAATTATCTCTTGAAGCCTCTAATTCCACAGCATATGCTATCACACATCAAAGGCCAAATTATAGCAACAAAAACTGCAGCTACCATGACTGAGCACTCACTAAGTGCCAGGCATAAACAATCAAATAAGAAATCTTAGTACTTATGGAATACCTCCTTGTATTGCTCTTGTGTGAGACTAAAAGTTGGATTATCTATTGGGAGAACTTGCAGTCTAACTGTAGTTAGACATTGAATAAAGATTATCTTTAAACACATATCTGAACTTTGGGGCCAGAAGGTTTTTGTTTATTTGTTGGTTTTGTTTTTTTAAAAGATTAGCTTTCCGCCGACTCATCACAGACCAGAGTCCTCATCCAGTGGCTGATGGAAGCAGAGACAGACATCCACAGAAATACACTGAGCTGAAATCTGGAACCTAGTTGAAGAGAGGGAGGAATGAAGAATGAAAGGGTCTGTCCCAGGTGGGAGAAACCCACAGAAACAGTTGGCCTGAAAAAGGGAAAGCATATCGACCCCAGACGCTCTTTGGGAGGCCAGTACAGGACTGATCCAGCCCCCTGATCATGGATGTCAATGGGGAGGCCCCTGTACTCCTGGGAGCCTCCGGAGCTGGACTGGCGTTTTGCCCTGGTGTGTGGGGGGGACTTTGAGAGCCCATCCCACTTGAAGGGATGTGCTCTGTCTCTAGACACATGGGGAGGGGCCTAGGCCCAGCACAGGAAGATTTGGTGGACTTTGTGGAGCCCCTGTTAGGGGCCCTACCCTGCCTTGGGAGTGGTGGGTGGATGGGGTGGGGGTAGGTTGGAGATGGGGGAGATGGAATGGGGGTGAGGGGAGGGAGAGGGAGAGGGGAATTACATGTGAAACAAGCCTGTTCCCTAACTTGAATTAATAATAATAATAAAAAGAGAAAAGAAAAGATTAAAAAAAATTTTATGTGCATTGGTGTTTTGCCATGGAACTGGAGTTACAGACAGTTGTGAGCTGCCATGTGAGTGCTGGGAAGAGAGCCCAGGTCATCTGGAAGAGCATTCAGTGCTCTTAACCACTGTGCCATCTCTCCAACCCCTGCCAGAAGTTTTCTATCTCTCTTAAGGTTCCAAATTAATCAGGCCCCATTACCTCTGTTATTTGTCAAATAACAATTCCCAAAATGGCAGCCCCACTACTTTTTATTAATTATGCTTTGCTTTCCCCTGCTGCAGCTTCTTTATACAGGCTATTTCTACTGACAGGGTAACTCTTTTTGAGGTACATCCTTTAGCACCTCCCTTTTAGTCATCCTTTAGAATTTAGCTTACAGGCCACCTTCCGAGTGTAAACGAGGCAATTTGCTTGCACAGACATATTTACATTGGCTTTACAACACATACCTCTCAGTTTGTAATTACATGTTTCATAATGATGGTAATTTGATCAATGAGTTTGCATCTGGAAAATTATTTACAACAAACTATGTAAATTAATGCATACATTACTTTAAAAATATAAATAGCTTGGATCAATATCAGAACAATCTGAAGTTTTTAAAAAATGGCAAAATATCAACCAGTAAAACAAAGGGAAACAATTTTTTGGAAAATTAGAGTCCTAGGAAATCAGCTTCATATTAGGGAGTTGGTAAGAAAGGGAAATTCCTGGATTATTAAAAGGTAACTTATGATAATTATATGAAAATACTTCAAGAAACATAATGAAATGAAAAATAATGTGCTTTAGGAAATTTTTCAGGGACATTTTTAATTAAGAAAAAAAGCAATTATCCAGACAATCACTAAGCAATGTCAAGCTGGTAAGAGTATATGCATTTTTATGCAATAAACTTACAAAGTAACATATATGACTCAAGGAAAAAAGTAATCTTTCTGAAGTGACTAAAAAAATTAATGCATATCCCTGTTCAGTAGTCATAACTATTAAGATCTTAAAATACTATCTATATTGTCAAGTATATAGAGTAAGATTTTCTTTAATTTTAACACAGTTGTATAAAAATATAGTAATTACCCTGGACTGCTGACACTCATTTCCTCTATGGATGGTCTTTCTTTAGTTGATTGCTATTTTAATAATATCCCAATATCACCCAGACAGTAAGGCAGGCCTTGCCAATCCCTCTCATGTAACCACACAGAAAGCTGTCTTCCCCTGCCTCCCCCAACTCTCCCCCAAGAAAGCCACTGTCCTGAAGCTCTGTGCAGCCTTCTCTTGCTTTCATCTTAGTTTTATTTTGATATAACAAAATATAAACATACAAGTTTATATGCTTCTTTTAAGCTTCTATTTAATATCCGTAGACCTGTCTTAATGGTTTTAGATTTAAAATGGCATATATCATGTAATACTGGAGAACTTCTTTGAGAAGCAGTTGATATTGCTGTGTGCTACAGCTATATGATTTGACTACTGTATTTATTGACTTACCCTTCTACTACCAGAGCCTATGTACTCAACTCTCTACCACAGAAGTGCACTGAGCTTGTTTCTACAATTATGCTACTACGTGCTAGCTGAACATTTTTGCACATGGTGAGATCTTTCTCTTGATAAATACTGATGAGTTGAATTGCCAAGTTACAGTCCATGTGAATGCTCAATTTCAGGTACCAGATGTTTTCTAGAGATAGTTTGTGATGCTAATATAACTAGAAAGCTTGTGGAATTATACAATATCTAGTACTTGCAAAATATCATACATATCTTCTCCCAAAAATGCTTGTGTCGTTGGGAAAATTTTATTGGGATGACAGTGTTCTTCTTTTTTCATGCATGGAAAATCAATGATCTCCATAACAGTTTAGAAAATAGGATAAATATGCCCTGATTACTAACTTTATAGAGCATATCTTTTGACCACCAAATCAAAATGAATTTTCTTTCATTTTTCTCTATAAACAGATTAAATATTTTCTAGTGGATACTTTCTTAAAATATACACATACACATGTGTATATGCATACATATGAACAGAATGCAAAATCACCATCACATACACACTTAGAAAACGATGAGTATCATCAAATATCTAATCATAGGGTTTCCTAATTACAATCTTTCTTTTTTCTTTTTTTAAGAATTTGACCCAAATACCACCTATACATTTCAATTGGTTGAGCTGTCTGTTTTAACTTATAGATTGTTCATAGTTGGTTTGCTTTTCTCAGAGGGAATCAGTTGGTTTGTCCTCAAGATGATACCTTCAATTTTGTCCACTCTTCCTAACTCTTAAGAGTTGGAGAATTGATAAGATTTCTATCTCATCTGTTTATCTTAAAGACTACGTGATACTGTGAACCTCTTGCCAAAAAATAAAAAATAAAAAGTCTCTTTCTGACATACAAGTACCCATTGCTATTTAGAGCGTAGATTCATCAATTCATTAACTGAATATTAAATTATATCTTTCTTATGTATATGGACATTTTTTCTGCAATCCAGAAAAGAGCATCAGATTCTACAGCACTCGAGTTATAGACAGTTGTGAGCCAACATGTGGGTGCTGAGGATGGAACCCAGGACCTCTGGAAGAGCAGACAGTAATCTTAATCACTGAGCCATCTCTCCAGCCCATTTAATTAAATCTTAAGTGCTGAATATTTGAACAATCTAGCAATAAACTGTGGTGCAAAGGAAATTTTCAGTTTAATCTTCCTCAGAATCGTAAGTTCAAGGTTACTACCTGTCAAGTTCAAGGCCATCTTGGGCTACATAATAAGACCCTGCCTCAAAACAAGCAAGCAAAGGAACCAAACAAAACCCACAGTCTCTGTAGCATACACTACTATAACACAGTACCACACAAGGATCTCCTTGCTAACTCTCTAAACCATCTTTTTCCTCATTGCTATTCTTTTCACTTGGGCACAGATGCCACCTATTTATGGTATCTGTCTAGCAGATAGCCTCTAGGTTCCCAGACTTCCTCATTTCTAATTATCTTTCCTCCCTCCACACACAGCCAACATCTCCACGGTCATAGATTTTCTAAAATAACTCCTCCAATTATGTAATGAATTCTATCCTCATACCTGCTAAGCAACTTAGCTCCTACAATTAGCCCTCCCCTTTCTCCTGCATCCATAGTTGTTCTTGATCTAATCATTCTTTATTGTGATCCACAAACATCTATAACATTATCCATCTTTAAAAACACCCCCTTTAGACTGTATATTTT